CGGTGAAGCCGCTCCGCCGGGTCGCCGCCGCCCGTCCCCGGCTAGGTCCGCAGCGTCGCACCTCAGCCAGCTCGCCGATCTCGAACTCCTTCATCATCTCGCGGGCGTCGGTGGAGTGGCCGACGTCCTCGAAGTTCTCGGTGGCCTCCTTGCCGGCCATGTCCCGCAGCACCTCCTCGCCGCCCGGGTGCTGGCGAACAGAAGAGCGCGAGCCTTTGAGCGCCTCGTCCCAGCTAACGTATTCGCTGCCTAAGAGTGAATCCAATTAGAGAGCAGAACCGTGGGCTTCACAAGTGGAAATACGAGCACAGTTTAGTTGATCGTATTGGGTGTCATTTATCATCAACAAACGTGTTCCAGTGTCCCGGCGCTGACCCTTCCTGACATATCGACCTATCCAGAGATAGGTCGAGTCCCTGCCCCGTACGGTCAAAGTCAACCAGAGGTCATGCCAGGACGACACGTCCTTTCACGGGTCATGCTTTACTCTGCCAGTAGCACGCATGCCATAAAGCAGGCAATCACTTCACTTGTAAAGCATTTCACACGAACGGTACGCCTGGGAAGTGCAGAGAAACAGCTTATTTCAAGGATAGCACCGATCGGAGAGCATAAAAGACAGTATCAACGGCACACACTATGACTGCAGTTTCTGCTGGCTCGTTTCGGTGTTCCGGTCGTATTTACTGACAACAGACACCCTGCCACAAAAGCGTCCTTCGTCCGCGCTATCGACGCGTAAAGCTGGCGCACCAGGCTTTCATAAGAAGCCAGATCCCCCCGACGGTGGCCGAGTCCCGGCATTTGCAGACGACCGAGTCGGAGCGTGAATCACCAATTGTGCAACATTAGAACTGGCCCGGCTCCAGCGAGACGGCAAGTGCTCCATAAAGCTGCTAGGTCGTCGGGTGCGGCAGCGGCGACAGTGCGCCGGGCTCTACAGTCCAGCAGCGCGCGCCATCTCGGCCAGTGCTCCATAAAGCCACCAGGTCGTCGGGCGCGGGCAGCGGCGACGGCGCGCCGGACCCTCAAGCCCAGCAGCGCGCACTCGTGACCGGAAACAGCTCGGCTCCACGTACAGACGCGTCACGTCATGTAAACACTGGCGCCTGGCGACCACCAGCGTCGGTCCCGGGCGCCGCGGCGCCTCCGCCTCTGCCGCCCCCCCCCCCCTTCCCCCCTCTCGTCCCGCCCGGCAGGTAATAGCCGACACACATCCGTCAGCCCCCCCAGCCCCCACCCCCACCCACATCCCCGCGCAGAGAACGGGCCAGCTGCCACGCCGGCCAACTGCCGGGTCGCTAATGACCTAATGACCCCGCCCGGCGACACGTCGCGCACCGCAGCCGACGCGTCGGGCCACGGCGGCCGACTGAACACAACGCCCGGTCGGCCGGGGTTCAGTCTGGGTGGGCCAGACGGGCAGGGTCGATCTAGTGTCCATGAGCCGCCGCGCTGTTGCCAGACAGCCTCAGCGACCGTCTGGCAACACGTGATGCCGACCCAGCAGAAGCGTCACCACAAAAAGGGAACAACTTGCCCATGGTGTTGATGAAACCGATGCCATTTTACCCTCACGCCCCTGTCTTCCATAATTTATGCAAAGCCATATATCAGGAGTTCGTGAACTTGAAATTGTTCCTGCTGGCAGCAGCTGATTGGACGTCATAAGAAATGTACCGGAGCTCCAACGAGCCACAACCCTTCGCTTCATGTTCACCTCCCACTGTGGTACCGCCCACCACCTTCTGCTGTAATTCGGCCGACTCATGGCCTAATTCGGTGAGAATGCGCCACGGCGAATGCATTTTCGATGATATTCAAAAGCCCTGCCAAACATCGCTCGAGGCCACCGACGCCGGTCCCATCAGATCCGAAGTCTCCGAGACTGGCTGCACCACTGGCGCTGTCACAACTCCGCCGACTCGACGTCGGCGCAGCGACAACGGCGGCGGCTTCGAGTGGCGTCCGCCGGTGCCGCACACGACCGCTGCAGCCCGCCAGCCCGGGGCGCCCGCGCGTGCCGCGGCCGGCCGCCGCCCCGCGGCCAGCGCAGTCCGACACGGCACGTTACAAGACCGTGATTAGTTACAGACTGAGCCAGACATCGCCGTTATGCGGGGATCTCCGTAAGCTGCTCGGCAAGCGAGGAAACGGGCTTTGCGATGCGGCCCGAATCAAGAGGCTCAGCTCAAGCCGCGAGTGGCGCACCGACATGGAGCACGCGTCCTCGGCCACCGCAGTCCGACACAGTACGTTACAAGACCGTCCTTGGTTACAGACCGGGCCAGACATCGCCGTAATACGGGGTTCTCCGTAAACTACTCGGCAAGTGAGGAAACGGGCTTTGCGATGCGGCCTGAGTCAAGACGCTCAGCTCCAGCTGCGGGTAGCGTGCCGAGAAAGAGCCACGCGTCCTCAGCCAGTGTCCGGACGGCAGGCAGCATGCGGCCCTCAGAAGGCCACGCGCAGTCCGCATGCTACGCGACACAGTCAGGGGAAGGCTGCGAACGCGCCACCAGACCGCCGGGATAGTGAGACCTATGGCAGCTGCCCGGTTCGGCGATGGGTCGCCATCACCCCGTTGTGCGCCACCCTCCTCAACGCACCGTTCGCAGCTGTATCAGCTACTGCCTGAGGGTCCGATTCTTTAATTCGCCGGGCGTTTTCAGAAACGCACTCGCAACTTATCACCAAGAATAATAAGAATAGAGTAAGACGCTTGTGCACGCAAGATTACCGTGGACACGTTAAAATGCTTACCGTAAAAAATGTAACTTCCAATCCACGCCCCCCCCTCCCCCCCCCCGCCCACCATCACTCCGTAGTACTCCATCCACTGCGGCTCTTACCTCGTCCATGAACTTGGTGACATCGTACACACGATTGTGGATGATCATCCAGATATCAGGGTCCCCGGTGTGCTGCTGCACCTCCTTCAACGAGAACACTTCTTCTCCGAACCCATGCCGCTTGATGTGCTCGCAGTCTGTGAAGACACACCACACTGAGAACGAGCCACGCCACACCGCGCAGACAGCGCCCAGCCAGCTTTGAGCTGGCAGCCTTTTTATAGAATATTCACTTTCAGCCTTACTTCCGAATACATTACATCAGTGGTTTCACACTACGACGACCGCGTACGCACTGCCCACCGGGGGGTTGCGTGCACAATAAAACCAACAAGCCACGTAGTGCAACTTCGGTCCAATTGACGGTTTTTCGTCGGCCATGTTACGCGTACAGGACCTCGAGCCGGGGATCCTGCCGCAGCATCACAGCCCGGCTGTCCCGCAAGACTCCAGGGTGCACTACAAGCGTGAGTGACCGGCGGGTCGGTGCGAGAAACTGTGGGCCCGTTCGTCGTCACAATCTTAAAAATCTGTTCCAAACCATCACGCCGCTCCATTCCTTACTTAAGGCAGTGTGTGAATGGCAGCCCGACCACCGACAGCACCAGGCGGCGATCCAATCCAACATAGCCAAAACAGCTGACCACAATCACAGCTGGACCAGGAGCACAACACGTCAAGCCAGGCACGTGACCAAACGTGGCCCAGTGCATGGTGTGACGTAGTACAGTACATGGGTGTGAGCGACTATATCATCTAATGAGTCCAGCTGGCACCTAAAGCACAGGAACCTACTGTCAGCACCAAGCTCAACAACACCGGCTTTAAAAGAAACTTGCTGAGTTCAGACTAGGCTCGGTTTCATTCGCAAGGTTGTTAGCCGCGATCTTTCAAAGAAGCCCGGTCAAAATGGAACAGCAAGCATTGATCCCCCTCCCCCTCCCCCCAACAGTAACGGAAGACTTTTGACTTGACCCGAAAGGGGCCAACACTGGGTCGGGTCTACGCTTCACGCCTGACCCCGGTTATCGCCCGAACCGGTGTAGTCTCGATCCAGATCAGTGAGTTATACGGGCGGCTGTTGGCTGACAGCCGGGAGCCTTGGTG